GCCGATCTCTTGAACCACCTACCCGTTTTCCCATTCACGGTCAGAGAGCTTGATCGACGACACTTGGCTCCCTCCCAGCCAGTTGGGGGGGGGGTGTGGGGGCCTCTACGCACCGGCCCCTCGCCCTGGCGACGCTCGTTCTAGGCCTGGCAAGGCTGGTCACTCGTGTGCTGCTCGAGGCGAGATGCAGGTACCTGCCTTGCCTGGCCCCCAGATGAACGTGCACGCCAGCACTGCGATTTCATCACGGCGACGCGTGAATCATCGTGCCCTGGAAAGTACCTACCTGCCAACTACCTACTTACCTACCTACCTCCCTTGTGTACCTTGTCTTAAGGTAGGGTACCTGAGGGTGGAAGGTACCTGAGGGTGCAAGGTACCTGACCCCACGCGCCATTCGACAAGTGGACGTGGACCAGAACCGTCTCGAGCGGATGCGTCACACAGCAACGCCAGGCGCCAGGCGGGGTTCTCAGGCGACGAGCACTACCAAAGTCTCCTCTCAGCCTGCACGTTCTCCTCCACCTCGTCGCTCGAGCATCTCCTAGGAACCTGTATTTGCTCTGAATCCTCTCTGACTAATCATCTCCTCTATCTCTCGAGACAGTCACGTTGCTGACCGCGCCAATCTGTGAATCTCTGGGTTTTCCCTTTCCACGACGGGAGTCATAGTCTGGCCAACCTCTTTTTCCCCTTCAAAATCTCTTGGCTCCCGAGTCTGCACGCTGTACGCAATTGCCAGAGGGACATGACAAGAATCTCACCCCCAAGACGTTCCACGCGGCAACCCCCCCCACCAAGCCTTCCCTCCTCTCCTTGAACCCAACCTTGGAGTGAACCACCAACCAACCCCCACACACGCAATTCGACTCCCAATACACCATGAACGCCCGTTGCCAGTGCGGCAGCGTCAGCTTCAAGACGCCCCTGCCCAAACCCTTGGCGCTGTACATCTGCCACTGCGAGTCCTGTCGCCGGCAGACGAGCTCCGCCTTTGGCACGAGCGCCATCTTTCCGCGCTTCACGCTGCCCGAGACGGAGCTGTTGAATGTCTACGCGTGAGTGTGCCTGGCCTGAGGATCGTACTCGGTCTGAAAGCAGGGGGGGGTCTCCAGCGTGACGTGGGGAAGAGCATGCGAGAGTCACAGCAGCTAACGGCGACAGGCGACCAACGGCATCCGGCCACACCATGTACTGGTAAGATTTCCCGGGCTGTCTACACACATGATGATACATCATCCATGCATCACGGGCTCCAAGTACGGGCTCCCAGTATGCTCACGCACCACAGCTACTTCTGCCGAACCTGCGGCACCCGCCTGCTCCACACCACGCCAGTACGTCTCCCCTGCTCGCGGTGCAGCCTTTTCCCCGTCCCGGCCCATGGGCACCCAGCAAGCAGCTTCAGGCCTCCGTCTTCTTCGACCATATTCATGGCATCCACTGACCCCCCCAGCAGAGCAAAAACGTCGTCTCCGTCAAGGGCGGCTGCCTCGAGGGCCTCGACTGGACAAAGGCCATCCACATCTGGACAAAGTCGGCCATGGTGCCCATCCCCGAGGGCTCCGAGGCGCACTCGGAGGAGACGTCGCTGACCACCGACTATGGCGAGCTGCAGGACGAGCTCGACCAGCCGACCGACCTGCGCGGGTCCGGCGAGTACGAGGGGCAAGAGTCCTTTCGTGGCGCCGACGTGGTCGTCGTGGGGGAGGGGGAGGCGCCGCCTGCGCCTGTGTCGGGGGCGTGCGAGCTGAGCGGGTGAGCTTTTTTCTGTTTCTTTTTTCTGTTTTTTCTTTCTTTTTTTCTTTCCTTCTTTTTTTCTTTTTTTTTTCTTTTCTTTTTCCTGTGTGTGTGTGTGAGAGAGAGAGAGTTGCTCTTTTTGACTGCTTCGGGTGTGTTGCGCGGGTTTGACGAGTTTACTGGTGAGGTCGTGTGCTGAATGGCTTGGTGTTGGCGGGTCGTGGTGGAAGCGAATGGAGTTGGGGTGATTTGCCGAGATGGTCAAGCAGCATCATCCAGAGTAGGCTGCCATGTGGCACTCGACAAAGATTTTGATCATGCAGATATAACTGCTTCCGAGGAGACCGTGCCATACTTGAGATGCATCGTGGGTCAACTATGTCAAGAGGGTATCATTGAGATTAGGCAACATATGGAACTCCAAAATAGACACATCCACGTATCCCACTGCTTCGAGATGGTCGAGCTACATGTCCGACGCAG